AGAGATGATGAGGAGGATATATCAGGAATGAACTCAAGTGTGTCCAGTTTTACCAGCTTCTCAGAACATGTTAAACGTAAATAGATAGTTTTACTTTAGCACTTAAGTAACTTTTTTCTAAAATTGGATTATTTTAATTATTACTTCGATTATGTTGTATGTAATGTAAGTTTATATATGTATTTATATATATACATATATTACATACAACGTATTATATATGTATATATATAATGTATAATAAATTATTTGTCATCAAACGAAATTGATGAAATATATTATTATATTATTCAAACACAATAAGTGAAGAAGGTCATCTACGGTCAAAATGGATCTTGGTGCTTAATAATATTCTGTGAATATTTTTTATTTAGGATGCATTAAAAGCAGAAGAAGAGGCAGGACTTATATAATTTATATTTATAAAGAAAATTATTATCTCGATGTAACATTTTTATTCTCATTCTTGGAAAAAACATAAAGTACAAAACTGTATCGGATTCATGTTTACTTACAAAATTATTTATGTAGGTAATTAAAATACACATTCATCTATACATTTTCTGCAGATTTATTTTAAAATTCATTATTCTCAGCTTTCTCCCATTGCCATTGTACAGCGCCTTCATTTACAAAATAGTTGGCAAATCTTTCTCTGTAAATACTGGACAAGTTACGTGAAATAACATCTCGGTTAATCTGATTTCCTATATTTCTAATAATGCCAAGCGATGTTTGCTGCCTGTCGTGTCCATTATATTGTAAATATTGTCTTTCCTGAGGGCGCCTTTCCTTTTGAAGTTCCTTAGTGATGATGAAATTGTGTAAGCAGATAGTGGCCAACACTATCTTTTCGGCTTTCGAGACGTAGGTATTGATTGGTCTTCGAAAAATTCGCCACCTTGCTGCAAGTATGCCAAAAGTTCTTTCAATAACCTGTCTGGCCCTGCTGAGACGATAATTAAATACTTTTTTCTTCAAATCAAGTTGTGAACTTTTTGGATAAGGTCGCATCAAGTACGGTGACAGCGGGTATGCCTCATCAGCCACCAAAACAAATGGTAACTCGTATTGATCAACTGGAGAAGATGGAGGCACATTCAAAGTATTTGCATCTAGTCCTGATTTTAATTTGCTATTAGCAAAAACTCCAGCATCGCTACGGCGACCCTCTGCTCCTACATCTACCAAAATGAACCTATAGTGCGCATCTGCAATGCCAGTAAGATTCAAACTATGGGTTTTTTTATAATTGTAATAGAAGGAGCCACTGTGAGGAGGAGCCTGTAATTTAAATTTTAAAGTCGTCTATTTCATGAATGTTAAATACAAAAGATATGTCTGAATAAATTATTATTACCTCTATTACAATATGTTTCCCATCTATTGCCCCCATGCAATGAGGGAAATTCCACATTGCTTCAAAATCTTCTGCTATCTTTGTCCATGCATCCTTGCTTGGTATTGGCATAACTAAATCCTTTAATTTAAGCCAGATTTCATCACAAGTTTCATGAATTATTTGCGAAACAGTGTTTGGAGAAACTCGAAATGCATATCCTATTGATCTCATGCTGTCTCCACTGGCTAAATACCTCAAGCAAATTTGCAACCTTGTGTGAGAAACAATTGGTTCTCTAATATTTGTTTGCTTTTCAATTCCAGGGCCTACTATTGAAAGAAGATGCTCGAAGGTGCCAACATCCATTCTCAAATAATTAAAATGCAGCGAAGGATCAGTTGCTCTCAGCATGGTAACTAAATTGTTACTATCACATTGGCGAAACCGCTGCTCTACTGAATAAATGGGCCTGACCCATACACTTCTTTTGGATTTTCTTTTTGACAAGGCAACGTAAATTGAGTATAATTTGAGCAAAGTTAACCTTATTTTCTCCTTTCGATAGTGCATCATTGGAGTTTTCAAGTATATTTTTATTAAGTGCTTAATAGCTTCAGTTATCATTATTTTATTATCCATGATGATAAAAAATTAGTTACTGTATGATAGCTTAATTGCATCAAATTTGCGCAAATATATTCAAGATCAAGAGATGAAGAACAATGACGGATGACGCATTACGTGCGATTTCGGCGTGCCCTGTTCACACGTTGCGGAAAAAGGATAGTAAATTCTTTACAGCTGATTAAAACATCGTTTTGAGATTGTAAATATTAATTGTAAAATATTAAATATCACAACAGTAATAATTGTTTTTACAATTTGAGAAATTATATTTTATTTTAATAGGCAAATTATTAACATAAAGTTAGAAATTTCTAAATTTATTCATCCTGGATGCATCTTTGACGCATCATGTGAACATAGCACACAAAACTTGCGTGTTAGAAAAGTGCGGAATATCGCTGATTGGTTGCTTCAATAACGCACTCTGTATTCCGTAGCCCTATGACGCGCCGTGTGATTTCACCCTTATGGGCCTCACGTAATAGATCGCGGGAGTTCACAGCCCGCTGGTCCATGGATCTGCTCCTGTTAGGAGGCAAGACACTGTGTTGACTAAGAGTGACAGAGGAGTGAGCAGAGATATTCCCGCGGAGGTGGCTGTTGTAAAAAACCATTAGAAGTAGAAGTGGAAGAGGACTTTCTAGTTACAGCGGCAAAAGAGCGATCCGAAATGGGTTCGAGCCACGGGCTCGCTTGCATTGTATGCTGAATCTAAAGCAATAAGATCGTTATAGTTTACGGGAGAACGGGGCTGTGTTGAAGAATGTGAAAGAGTAGGAAAGTCAGAGAGATGAAAAATATTAGAAGGGGGAGAGGAAGAAGGAGAGAGAGAGAAGGGGCACCGAGTTTAAGGCGTGCCTCAGCGTACGAAATATTTTCAAGAGCCGCAGCTGCGTAGATATGTTTATGTCTCAAATAGGAAGGACACGCCGAGGAAGACGGCAAGTGTTCACCCCCGCAGTTGCAGCAATGAGGAGGAAGCCGAAGTCGAGGGCACTCATCAGGCGTAGCATGTTTTTCATTACTGCAACGAGCACAACGTGCCTTACTTTTGCAATCCGCGTTGACGTAACCGTATCTAAGACATGAGAAACACATTAGAACCCTAGGGATATAGGGGTAAACGGGAAAATTAACATGTCAAAAGGTGACAGCCCGTGGTAAGTTTTGGCCACGAAATTTAATCAGGACAGTTCTAGAAGGCGAAGTGATTAGTTCGCCGTCTTTCCGAGTTCTAATATTTAAGCGTTTGGCCGATAAAATTTTAAACTGGGACGAGAAGAGGTTCACTACGTCATTTTCTGAAATGTCGAGGGGCACGTTTCTAATAACACCAGTACGGAGAATGTTAAATGAAGGAATGGACGCAGTGAGGCCGGCCTCCTTAATACTCGGATGCGAAAGCGCACGATTAGCAATTGCGTAGTCGCCAAAATGAACAGCAACTTTGTTCCTACCTGCCGACTTAACCTCTAAGATTTTTCCGTCGGCGAATCGCGAGACAATTCGTGCGACCGATATAGGATCTAGGCGCATATCATTATTAGAACCGTCAGCAATGCGCCGCACGAATATCACAAAAGGAGAGCGGTCTCCTTTATCATAGGTTATGTTAGGGTGGCCGGAATCAGCTATGGTCACATTAGTGTTATCGTTAGCGTTTGCGTTATGCAGCATCCCAGACGCGGGCTCATCACCATCCGATGTCGAGCCACGAGCGCGCTTGCTCGGAGGTTTTCCCCCTTTATTGTCACTAACGGCTTTCGGCGAAGCCCGCGAAGCCCGCGAAGCCGAAGTTTGAATGTCCACCTCGTCATTATCCGTATCCATAGGAATATCGTTATTAAGCGAAGGAGGATTAGATTCACGGTCACCACATGCACTCAGCGAAGAACGGGATCGAGAGCGAGAGCGCGATCGCGACGAAGAAATCGAGGCTGTAGAAATGGACGGAGAAAGATCACGCGAAGTCGAGATTCGCGTGTCCCTCCCCCTCTTGCCCTTCTTTTTTTGTTTGATGTCCGCCTTTTTGCAAGAGGGTGATGCAACTGGCGATGATGATTTTAGGTAATTAGCCGAAGGCGGGGGCATTAAATGTGCTGTCTCAGGCTGTTTATTTTCATCAGCATCATAACCACCGCTCGCGCGCCCGAAAAAAACATTAAAGTCCTCAAGAGACGCAGAAACTCGTATACCAACGGGTGCCGAGCCACCACCGGAATCCGGCGGGGTAGAGACACCTTCCTGCATAGCAGGGACAAAAGGCTACAGAGCAGGCAAAAAAGAGTGTACTTACGCGTAAAAGGATAAAAGAAACCTCAAAGAGGAAAGCACAGATAACAAGAAAAGCAGGCCAAAGCCGGGGAAGCACGGGAGACAACAGCAGAGCGCAGGCGCATAAAGGTCCACACTGTACGAGAGCTCACGAGCGAATGCTTCTTTGCTAATGAATGGCCCCGACTCCTGCCACGGAGTCGATACGGCCAGAAACGATGTAGCCGCTCCAAGCGGCGAGTAGCGTGAGTTAAAGCATGAGTAACGTAGAAATAGTATGTTGGTATGGCTGAGTGACGCCCTCCCCGCCTAAATACTAGCCGGGCGAGGGAGATTCAAATACAGAGGTTGGAGGATTTGAGAAAAGCCAAGAGATGGCACATTTTAGCAGAAGGCTTTTTTAATAAGGGAAAAATATCTCTAAGAACGTTCGGGAAGGTAGAATCAATGAATGAAATGAGTTTGGCTGACTTGGGATTGGTGATGGGACAGCAAAAAATTATATGATTGATATCCTGGTGAGGATCTCCGCAGGGACAAGCGCTCGAGCAGACCATATTCTTGCGAAACAAACTGGCATTCAAATTGTAGTGGTTAGACCTGATGCGGTTGATTAGAGTGATTTCCTCTCTTTTCAAGGGGAGGTTGGCGTACCAAGTCTTCGGTGAGGTATCCCGGTAGAGTTGTTCATATGGTAGACCTTTTTGCAGAAATTCTCCGTTTAAATAATCCTGGAACCGTCTTACGGAGTTAGGTTCTACTTCACTTTAGGTTCCGCAAGTGTGTCCGTATACGGAATCTTTATATCCATGCGAGTACCGTTTCTAGCTCCGAGTTTAGCAAGATCGTCCACCTCTTCGTTTCCCCTGATGCCCCTGTGAGAGGGGATCCAGACAAGATCCACCTGGATACCCGAAGAGTCGGCTAAGTATAGTTGGTTCTTGAGAGAGTACATCAAGTAGTTATCGTTATTAGTTCTAGGTGAAGCAATGGCCTCTAAAACGCTTTTGGAGTCGGTAAAGATGACAGCCCTGACACACTGTTCCTCACAGATAGACTTCACAGCGACGAGCAATGCCCAGGCTTCTGCAGTAAAAATCGAGGTGCCCGGCGGAAGGCAGTGCGAAAAATTAAGCTGCAACGTTGGAGAATAAATGCCCACTCCAGTGGGGCCATCTGTGCCCAGCTTAGAACCATCCGTATATAGCACTGTGGTATCCTGAGGGAAGGTATACAGGAATTCTTGGAATTTAGATACAATGAATTCTTTGGGGGTGGAATCGTTGACATGGGTAACTACTTCCCTGTATTCTTGTGTAAAAATAGTTACGTTGTATGGGTACAAGAAGGCAAGAAGGAAAACAGAGCGTTTAATGCGTCCTTTATAATATTTGAAAGCAATGTAAAGTTTAAAGATAGGAATGCATCGTATGGCATTTATTCTTTTCCGTCTGTTACAGGAAATGTCCTCTAAGTAGCGAAGACTATTAATCATGGGATTGCCGCTCTTTAAGAAACTCTTTAGGAGGAATCTAGACAACAACAATTTAAATCTGTTCCTTAAGGGGGCCTCCTTAGCCTCTGCAAGTATTATATTGATAGGGGTGGAGATTCGATATCCCATGGCGATTCTGATAGCCCTCCATTGGAGGCGTTGTAGGCATCGGAATAACGTTTGATTTCGTTGAAATTGAAACACCTGGCAGCCGTATTCGATGGAACCTTTGAACACAGCACGATAAATTGTTAGGAGCGATTGGGGGTGTGAACCCCACCAAACTCCTGACAGGGAGGATAGAATGTTAACAATCGATTTACCTTTCTGGATTAAATAGGTGAGATGCTTCTTGCCTGTCATCTTCGCATCCAACCAGACTCCCAGAAACTTAAAAGAATCCGAAAGAGGAATAATTTGGTTCCCCACATTAATCCGCTGGAAGTTTGGAATCTTATTTTTACGTGAAAAAATTACGCATTGAGACTTATCTGGGGAGATTTCGAGACCTTTTGCCCGTAAGTAAACCTGTAGGGAATCTATAGTTTTTTGCACAGACTCGACAGCCTTCGTGAGATTAGTACCGTGAGCGAAGATCGCTATGTCATCTGCGTACTGCAGCATGAGCGAATTATCATGGGTATAGTTGACTATATCGGCGAGATAAATATTAAATAAAATCGGACTTAAAATCGACCCTTGTGGAGTACCCTTATGAACTACGTATGGTTCGCTTATAGCGTTTGGGAAAAAGTTAGTGCACACCAGTGCGCACTCAGTTCACACCAACACTGTACGAGTTCCATGGGTTGCACTGAATAATGCAAGTTCAAAAGAACACGCCAAGATTTTCAGTGCTAAAGCTGAAATGCCATTTCGAATTGTAAGACTGTAAGGACTTGATTAGACTGCAGGAAGAACGCAGAAAAATAATTTCGACATCTCATATTCATATAACTTTAAATAACGATTTTGTACTATATGTAATTAAATAATATATAAGATATCAAGAATATCATATATGTACATACTTATCAATAATTGTACACATTTGCATGCTATAAATTACAGATTTGCTTGTCCCTATTATTATATATATCCTTTTATCTTATACAAAACGATGCACTGACATCCTATATATGTATCCAGTGCACTAAAGTGGCACCGTCAAAATATCTCGTGCCACTTAGTGCGCACTGAGTGCGCACTACGCGAGTGTCGTGCGATCAAATGAACACGTGACACTAGCCAAGTGTGCATTGGCCCTGCCAATCGAACACGTTCTTGATACTGAGTGCAGCCAGTGCATCCCAATCGAAAATGATATTAGTCTACCGTTTCTAACAAAAAAAGACTTCTCTCTCCGAGGTCAAGTTCTGAATGAACCTGCGCAGTTTGGCCGGGATGCCAAGGTTTCTCAGAGTGTCAACGAGGATAGAAGGTATGACATTGTCGAAAGCGCCGACGATGTCGACAAATACACAGACCGTGAATTGGCCGGCCAAATTGGCCGCATGGATATGGTTAGTTAGAGTCGTAAGGTTGTCGATGCACAAGCGGGAGGGCCTAAATCCCATTTGGATTTCGGGAATGATCAGATGGGATTCAGTCCACCATCTTAGCCTAAAATAAACGACCCTCTCCATTAATTTAAGTAAGCAGGATAGAAGTGAAATAGGCCTAACTCCATTGCCATTCGGCTTAGGTATAAAAGCCACAAGGGATCTTTTCCAAGAATCAGGCATGACTCCCGAGTCCAAGAAACCATTGAAGATATCTACGAAGGCATCTGTAAACTCTACCGGAAGAGATGAAATAATCTTGTTATCGATCTAATCCAGCCCTGGGACCGAGTGCAACTTGACCTCTTTAAGGGCGATGGCAACCTCCTTACTGGTGATAGGTGAGTCGAGTTCTGCGACCAAGTTGTGAGAGTTGATTGCATCCTCTCTGAGCATGTCCGGGAGAGAAGGAGATTTTCCGTACAGACAAGAAGGGGGGCATAGTTTCTCAATGGCTTTGTCGCAAGCACGCGACAGGTCACAGCCAGAATGACGGTCTGGGATTGTGTCCAAATTTAAGTTTCTATTTTTAAAGGATCGGACCAATGACCACAGTCTGGACGAGGGTGTGCGGCAATTGAAGCTCTCGCAAAAACCTCCTCCAGCCCTTCCTTTTTTCCCTGCGTAGTGTTTTAGTGGTTAATGCACACTGCTTTTTGTATTCAAGATAACTTTCCCAGGTGAGGGTTCTTTTATAAGTCTCGGTGGCAGACTACCTTGCTACAACTGTCTCCTGGCAGACATCATTCCACCAAGGTGGTTGTGATTTAGATCCAGAAACTATGTGATTGCTCGGCGCCCGAGCCTTACCGGGCGCGACGGCGCTGATTCCAGAATTGATTCTCCGGACCAATTCTTCATAAGCTATCAGGGGATTGTCCGAGGGATCAGCCTCGGTCGCTGGTGATTCGTTATAAAGAAAAGAATTAAGCCTATCAAGTTCCTCTTTATTTAAATGAATTTTATACTTGAATTTAGATTTTCTTTGGAGTAAGCCCCCGATCTGTATGTGGATAGGAAGGTGATCGCTGTAACCCGTGTCAGAAGAGGTAACTGCCGAACAAATTGGCGCGATACCGGGCGAGGCAAGGGCCAAGTCGATAACTGACTGATTGTGACCTGGAGGTTGGACCAGCGTCGGAAAGCGGTCGTTTAAAACAACCAAGTTCAAGTCATCGATAACAGAAATAAGCGCACGGCCGACGCGATCTGTAGTCTCACAGCCCCAAGCTACGTGGTGCGAGTTGAAATCACCTAAAATCAAAACGTTGTCATCCCGGCCAAAGGACTCAAAAATGTTGCGGAAAACTTCCACAGGGGTATAAGATCCCGAGTGACGATATAGATTGACAATATTAAGATAATTATTATTGAATCGAACGCAAATGCCTTGTATCTCAATGGAGTCATGCGTGATATGGCTAAGATCAATCATCCTGAATTCAATTTCTCTTCTGATAAGAATGCAAATACCTCTTTGAGATTGTGATGCAACATCCCTTCTGAGGCAGGCGTAGCCCGGGACTCCGAAGAAATTAGCAAGATAGAGGATTTTTCCCCTCAAGCCTCTACAGTTACACTGCATAAAATTTGCACTAGTATTGTCTTTCTTATTATGATACGTGAATTTTATTTGATTCTGAAGCATGAGTGGAACTACTTGGTAGTTTGTTGAATGAAGTAAAGCTACCGAGGTGCTGTAAGGTTAATAGGAGTAACTGTATGAGCGACGAGATATCTAAGTTTTTCAAGAGGGGGTTTTCTAAGATAACATTAGGAAGGTAGGAGCTGGAAGGAATCGGAGGAGGAGGAGGGAAAGTTGAGTCAGGATCCTGTGACATGTGTCTAGAAGCGTGCAAATAAGGGTTATGGGCATATGCTAAGCCGTTGGGAGAATCAGACGGCAGGCGTCCGTTACGATTAATAAGTATGTCTTCCCGGGGATCCAATGAATTATCCAGATTGTGCGTTACCCGGGCTTCGAATCTGCTCTGTGTGGGAGCGCTAGAGTTTTTGTTGTTGTGGTATAAGCGCCTCTTTCCCGCAGTCATTACATTTGCGTAAGTATGATCAAAATTGGCAGAACTATTCACGGGGATCGTATTCAAGACGGCGAACCTGTTATTACCAACAGGATACTCTTGAGGGTCTTCGTCTCTGACTCTGGGTAAAGTAGGGTAATTATCGTAATCAAACCTGCTGTCTGGGCTAACGCCAGGGGATTCTTGGACAATCCTTCGTTTTGCGCTAAGGAGAGGGGTGTTCTCGCAAGCTGCCAATGAAACGATTTTTTTCTGTCTGATGACCAAAGGACATACGTATGATGTGGATAGGTGACCGCCTTCACAGTTGATGCATCGATGGGACGTATCCCTCAAACTGCACTCCTGAGCATTCTCGTGGGGAGCCTTGCCACAGGATATACATCTGGCATTGCTTCTGCAGGCTTTGCTGATATGACCTGCTCTATAACATATGCGTACTTTAGGTATATATGTAGTCACAACATGTTTGGTACAGAACAGAAAAACGTGCTTCGGAAGAGTTTGTCCAGCAAATTTAATGCAAATCGATTTAGATGGAACGATTTCTGATTTGTCATCCCTGGTAATTCGTTGGTTTAGACGGTGTACCTCAATAACCTTAAAGGGAGACTCAATGTACTTTTTGATAATTTCTTCACTGATATCAGTGGGAATATCGCGAATGACACCTGTACGGAGCGTACGGTACGTAGGAATATATGCTCTGAGCTTGTGAGCATTAAGTAGAGGGCTTTTGACTAAATTATTGGCGGCTGAAGCCGATTTGAGTTCGACTAAAATCTTGCCGCGACCAATTTTTCGAATCTCCGATACGTCGTTATATGCGATTTGTGATATGATTCTACTGACGTGCAGAGGGTGCAGGGCAGCGTGTAAATCACTGTTAACAGAATGTACATGCACAGCGTAAGGTGGCGAGTCCGAAGGTGTGTAATGGTTTTCGTAAGTAATTCCTTTCTTGGCAGGGTTATCATTTGAATTACTTACGTTGTTGTCAGTAATGTCATGGGGGACGTGAGATTTATCAATAACAAGGTTGTTATCCAATTTACCCATCTTCTTGGGAAGAACCGATTGTGGGTCAGAAGTTAGTCGTTTACGATGATCCCTGTCCAATTCGACATTCGACTCGGCATCCGAATCGAGATCCATGGGCGCGGGAGCTTCAGCGACGAAAGAATCCCTCGCAGGATGATCGGGAGGAGGATCCCGCGAAGTAAGAGCACATATACCTTCAAAACTGGTGGATGCAATGGCCTGTTGAACTGCGTGGGAACCTGGGAGGCGATTTTCAGACACTGAAGGCTTCTTTTTGAGGGTTTTACGTTGAGATCACTTTCGGTCACGGATGTTGTATGGCCAGGCAGTGGTCGTAAAACGAGAGCCGGGTTCAGAATCATAGCCAGGAGAGCAGGAGGCGAGGAAAGGGGGGGAGGAGGAGGAGGTTGACCGGGCTCTTCCCCCGCCCGGGGAATTCCCGAGGTCGAAGCCTCGCTCATGGAAGGGTTAAGACCCTTTCACTGGTTTTAATATGAGAACTTAGAAGAAGAAACAACTGTAAAAGAAAAGGGGGATCGCGCGTAACGATACCCAGACACCGCTGTGAAGCGAAAACACGAGGCAGAAGGAAACTTTTCACGAGAGCAGCCAAGCACACATCCCGCTTCCGTCCACCATTTTCTCTCTCTTAGCCAGGGGTCATTGGCTGCGTTCAGCAGACTCAACAGTTTTGCAACCGTTTTATGATTGTCTGCTGAGATAGGACCATTCTTCTAGATCTAAAAGTATGATCCAATTAGCGCGAAAGAAACTTCCAACAGTTGCAAAACAAACGTTCTGCTGAACGCAGCCATTGTTTTTAGAAGACGAATCCTTTTATTGTGCCTATTCTACAATGTGCGAGCGTTATTGTAGTGGTGTGGTTATAAGAATTGACCAATCACAGTCGAATATAAAGAGAATACTCAACAGTGATTGGCCAATTCTTACAACCACGCTTGCGTACTTCATGCGATCA